AACGGTGATTTCTTGGACACATATGATGGCATGCCACCCTAAACCTGGAATCCACGCCCGCAAGAGCAGTGAGAAAAGGAGCCCACGAACAAAGACAAAAAACGATTCCTATATAAACCCTGAAGCCTAAACCCTAACCCCAAAGCCCAATCATCTTTCTAGCCTAACATCCTATAAACCTGCAACCCTCAGCCCAACTTTCGCAGACTGAGGTCCTACGTTTAAGTTCACTCCTGACGGACCCGCAAAACTTGCTGACATGGCTGTGGTCATCCGGCCGATCCGGCCGATCTTGACGGCGACGTTTCCCTGAGGGTGTCATGTGTATAGGGTTTTAGGGCTTACAGCGCAGGGCTTATACAGTAGGGTTTAGGGCCTAGTGTGTTCTTGTCAGTATTTGTTTTGGCTACATGCAAATCTTGGAGCATACAGGCTTTGGGTTTGGGGTCAACTAGCATCAGTCTACAACCCTAAACCCTAAACCCTACGGTTGTGTACGGTTGATGATATAAATCCTGCATTACCCACAACAAGGAATACCTGCGACCCCAAACCCTACAAAATAGTAGGTTATGACCCCTTAATTAGAGGGTGGAACCCCCTAAACGGTAGGTTTTCGGCTGGATTTTATCATCAACAGTAGCACTTCTTAGGACACATCTCATGTCCTCCAGGCCCTGGGGCTTCCGGGCGTTGTGGGATCAGTGGTCGGGATATCTGTTTAGGGTTTAGGGTTTAGGGTTTAGGGATTATCTAGGGATTTATGGGCCGGTATTGTTTGCATTAAGGGATCTACCGGAGGACTCAGGCTGAACCGCGTTGTTTTGATTAGGCAGGGCCGCAGGAAAACAGCCCTGTTTCGCAGATAAGACGAGCTGGGATTCGAGTTTAGGGTTTACTGTAGAGCGTGAAGTACCTTGCTCGGGACGTCTGCTTCAATTCGATACGACCCTGAGGCCATGTAATTCATTCATCCCGTGAAGGGATCGGACTGGTGAGTGCACCTGGTTAGCAGATCTTCAGAGATTTTGTCACTTCGGGGTCAACCTCTTGCAGAGAAGCCTGAGCCGCTGGGGGGGGGGGGCTTTTCGGGTTTCTGGCGTCTTGTGCAGGGCCCGCAGGCACTCACAGCGTCCGGCAGTTTTTATGCAAGAAGCAAGAACCGTAGTTGCCACCGTTTAGCCACTTGTTTCACTACACGCCCATGCTTAACCTGCTGCAACCTTTGTCCAGCTGGGTGGCCACTTCCATGACAAAAAGTCTCCGTGTGAAGAGTGTAGGGTGGTTTAGATTGTTTTTGATGGTTTAGGGCCAAAGTTTAGGGGGTTTAGGGTTAAGAGTTTAGGGTTTAGGGTGTCTGATCGTCCGTGCAGGAAGACCTTGCTGCACTCCAACCCGACCTCACGAAACCCTTGACTCAGCCACTACTGTTCCCGGACACCACCAGCACCACCACCAAAGCCACCACGAAAGCCACCACCACCACCACCACCACCACCACAACCACCACAACCGCCACCACCATCAGCACCAGCACCAGCACCAGCACCACGACTACTACTGTTGCTGCTACTCCTGTGGCTGCTGCTGCTGCTGCTGCTGCTGCTGCTGCTGCTACAACTACACCAACCACAACAGCCACGACAGCAACAACAACACTACTACCACCATGGGTTAGACTACCTCGGTTCGATCGGTTTGCAGTTGTTAGCGACTGTATGCGGTAAGTTGCTAGGTATTGCTGTTGGCGGTTCGATGCCCCCTCGAGCCCCACTCACACCCGCTCCACTCCATGCCCCTAAAATCCTTAAAACCGTCCTTGAACACCTATGCCGCGATGCGGTGTCATGCCGTGTCGATTTATGCGATGTAGTTTGCTGCGGGGGGATACGGTTCGGTGACGGTAACGATTCGAGGTCGATATAAGTATTGCGGCAACGCCCATGACGACGACGACGACGACTACTACTACTAATACTAAGTGACCCGTAGTCCTACTTATCCTACTCGTCCTACTCGCCCTACTGCTGCTGCTGCTGGTGCACCACCAGCACCAGCACCATAATGACAACCAGTGCCCGCTGTGCCTCGTGGCATTAGAACAGCATCATCTCATCAACATTGAGCATCACCTTTTCAGTTCGGAGACGGCCGATAAGGTTTGACTGACCCAGCTCTCGTGCCTGACAGTTGTAACCACTGCTATCTCTGCTACTTTCGCCTACTACGTGCCCCAGACATATAGTCTCGCTCATGTCTTAAAACGCAGAAAGTCATATGGGTAGTTCTCTAGCTGAGGGTCCCATTTGAGGCTCCCTGCATGATACGGTACCCTCATAATAAGGCCCCCCCAAAAGAACTCTAATTTAGAGAACCTCCCAGATAATGGGGGAGAAATGGAGTCTGTTTGCTGTCGGTGCCTTCCGAGCCAATCTCCGCTCTGAGTAAGCAACACGACGGTTTGCGTCCTGCTGGGTCGTTCAAGGCACGGTTTAGGGGTTTACGGTTTAGGGTGCCGAGTCCAGCCACCATCCCGCTGGTCTTGGAAGCTAGCTTTGCAGAAAACCGAGATTGACATATTTACATACATGGGTGTGCCTACAGAGACGAAGCCAAATTAGAGAAAGATCGCATCCCCCTGGCGCCCTCTATCGTTGTTGCAGGAAAAAAGCTATGGTAGTGTAGCCTGCTTTAGCCGCAGACGACTGCGATGGCGATGCATCGCAGCACATCGCTGCTGTCTTATCTATCGGTGGGGCCAGGCTGGGCAACGCCAGGGTGAAAAAGAACGTGAGAGCCGAAAGACAGCAAGATCTGTCCCTCCGTATAGGGACGGATCCTTCCGCGTGTATGTATAGATGCACGTAGCAAGTTCGTGAAGCTTGTATGTGCACACGCTGACAAGTAAATCCTATCCTACATCGCAACGCCCCGACTCTTGACGGACGAGCTCAAAAGCCGGGCAACTACGCGACCACACTGCGCAAAGACATAGGAGTTTCGGAAAACACCAAACAGCAGGATCCTTGTTATATGGACCCCAAAATAAGGTACCCCTCATTTTCAGAATAGTTCTCAAAGTGCAACTTTTTAGTCCGAGGCTTTGACGGATGAACGCCGTGCTGTTTGAACGTTGGAACTGTTTTCCCAGAAGTTGCGAAGACTTCGAAGAAACCGATATGGAGGGATTCGCAATAAAAAGTCGGAGTCCGAGGCAAGGAGGAGGTGTCGATGGGCACGGTGACCTGATACCGATGCTACAGCTACGACTGCTGCCGCCGCTGATGCTGCTGATGCTACTGTACTCTGCTGCTGTGCCACTCCTTCCAGGGATGCTTCATGAACTTCATGATCTATTCCAACGTGAACTCCAACCACCAAAGATTGAGGGTCCAAGCTTTGAGCCTTTTCATGAACTAACCCGGAACCCCTAAATCCCAAACCCCTAAACCGCTCAACTGCAGACTCGCCCACCTCTTCGGCCAAAGCTTGCAGCAACAATCCTGGAGATGGCAAGCTGGGACGTTTTGAGGCTCCTTGATGCTTGAGGGTTCAGGATTAGGGGTTTAAGTGCATCGGACGGAAAGGTGCTAGGGTTCTAGTAGGATGCAGACCTCAATAGGGTGCATGCAGATTGTGCGGCTGTCGCTCCTACGGCGGTGACAACGGCAAAACAGCTATAGCAATAGCAAAAGCAGCGACGGCAATAGCAACAACGACAACAACAACCACAATAGCAACAGCGACTACCACCCCAACTGCGGCAACGATGACGCCGACTACCACTACTACTCCTCCTACCACGACTACTACCACAACGGCGCCTACTACTACTACTACTACTACTACTACTACTACTACTACTACTACTACTACTACTACTACTACGACCACTGCTACTACTACTACTACTACTACTACTACTACTACTACTACTACTACTACTACTACTACTACTACTACTACTACTACTACTACTACTACTACTACTACTACTACTACTACTACTACTACTACTACTACTACTACTACTACTACTACTACTACTACTACTACTACTACTACTGCTGCTACTGTTTCTGCTGCTGCTCCTGCTACTGCTACTGCTACTGCTACTACTAACGACGACGGCTACATTTACTGCTGCCGCTATTGCTACCGCTACTGGTAGTGCTAGTGCTACTGCTGCTGCTGCTGCTACTACTACTACTACTACTACTACTACTACTACTGCTACTGCTACTGCTACAATTACTAATACTACTCATCCTGGCATTGTTAAGGTCACCGAAACATTGCCACCAATATAGCTACCGCTATGCGGACTGCAGCTACCGTACTGATGTCTACTACAAAAACTCATAGCGCTGCTTTCTCCGCGGCCACAGGTTTGTTGATGATAATGTCAATCATGCGGACGATACCCAGGCGTGTAAAGGCATGAAGTGGACGATCTGTGACGATGTTGATAATGTCTATAGTCTTTATGTGACGATGTTTCTCGGCTTTACACACGGTGCTTCCATTTTCCACAGTTGGGTTTGATGCCGGATATGAGTGTTGCACTGAAACTTGACACTGCTCAGGTCTCGTTCAGTTCTGTCCTGCCTGGCTAAGGACATAATCCATGCGCATGCGGCGCAGATGCAAGCCGAGATCAGATGCTCAGCTAGCTGCCTTTTCTTCAGCAAGGGGTGCAGAGTTCGGAGCCGTTCTCGGACTTTGAACTATATGTTCCGCCATCCGTGTGTTTTGTTGGCAGAGTTGTTCGCGGCTGCATTTGGGGAATTTCGATTTATTGGAGTGTGAGGCTGCACGTGCACCAAAAAAACCCGCCATTCGTAGTGACGGTGATGTAGCTCATGAGTTGCACGATATCGATGCTTCCCAGGTTTTTTCTTGTTCACATCAGGGCGAGAATTGGATTTGTTCGTCTGGTTGACGATTGGGGGTACTGAACCCTGAACCCTTAATTGAAGCCGGCTAAACGCAATCGCGAGATGCAATCTGTCCGAGGAGTTTGGCTGCGCGAGCACACGGAGGCTCTCCAGGCGGGTGGCCATGGAAAAACCCATATAAGATAGGGGGTTTAGAGTTTAGGGGGTTATGGGCCTTAATAATTAGAATTGGCTTCCTTCAACGGGGTCTAACAGGGTTACTAAAAGGGATCCATAAGGGTGCAAAATTATAGGCGCCTGAACAATCAGAATAGGGTTTCTTTAAAGGGGTCTATAAGCACTACAAGCGATCTATAAGGGTACTATACTATAGGGGCCTTGATAATTGGAATCGGCTTTTCGGGGCCCATTATACGGCTATTATCATGAAGAACGCGCACAATAGTTCAGGTAATTTATTAAAGCCACAAAATTAGGGACCTTCACAATACACTGGGATTTGGGGACCAAGACTCCCAGGGAAGGAACATTGCTACTACTGCTGTTAGCTAGTGAGACATCTTCTGTGGAACAGTGAAGGTACAGTACTCTGTTCCTGAACACTAGAGTGCAAGTTTCGGAACATTGGCACGCCAATTTTGACCTTGCGTAGGTGGCTTCTTAGTATACACAAGCAAGGTTTCCGCAAGCATGGCAAACTTTACGAAACCGTGGATAAAACCTGCGAAACTTCGTAAAAAGTGTAACAACTGATTCACAACCGTATAACACCCCGTAAAACCCTATAAGTCACTTAGTCTGTACTCCCGCAACTCCCCAAAAACTCCAATGTCCCTCAATTAAGGAATATGCCTTAAACTATAGTAGGATCCTTAATATGATTTAAGGAATATTCCTTACTTCAGGGATATTTGGAATCTCCTAAACCCTAGAGCCTATAGATCCCTTATAAGATCCCTTAAAGGAACCCTTAGAGATCCCTTTAAAGGAGCCCTTAGAGATCCCTTTAAAGGAACCCTTAGAGATCCCTTTAAAGGAACCCTTAGAGATCCCTTTAAAGGAACCCTTAGAGATCCCTTTAAAGGAACCCAAGGAGTCGCTGGGTCAAGCAGCCCCCATGCACAACCGCCCCAGGCGAGCGATTTCTATGCTCGGCAGCTGAGTTACCTGGCAGTGACACCGAACCCTCAGGCTCAAAATAGCCCTAAAGGGTTCTTTAAAGGGATCCTATAAGGGTTCTATAAAAGGGTTTAGGGGTTTAGGGGTTTGGGGTTTAGGGTTTTAGGGTTTAGGATCTCCTAAGGCTCAAAATAGCCCTTAAAAGCCTTATATAGTATAGTATGGTCTTTGGTCCCAAAAGCCTTAAAATACGAGTCCTTAGAGCCTAAGGGTAAGAGTTTCAAAAAGGCAACGTCTGAATTAGGAACCATGTTCACTGTCGTTCCACTCTAAACCCAAGGGACCATCAGCACTGACGTGTCTCTTTTGGGTCACAGCGACTTTTGAAGTGAAGAACGAGGATGCTAGGGGAGATGTCCTACTATAAGGTGTCCTAATACTTGTAGAATCTACTTGTGCATGAGGTCTCCGGTATCACCTTTGCCTGAAACCCTGAGACTACATGTGCAGTGCCCATATGTCCTCAATGCAGTCCATGTGGGGCTTGCCGAGGCAAATCACCACGTGCTTTGCAAATTGCAACGGTGTAGGTCTGGGCCTGGGGCTGTAGAGTTTTGAGTTCAAAACCCTAAACACGAAACCCTTCAAAGTACCGGACTTAATTGGGTCGTCCTAGGGTCTAGTTATTCGTCTTCATCTACAAACGAGGCCAAAGCCCTTCCTTGACACGTTTTCACTTCAACATGCTGCGGAATAGAAACGTTTATTATAGGGGTCTGTATAATGAGCAAACACGTACTATTTTGTGGGTTCCTTAACATAATCATAGTATAGTGGGCCCCCAAGACCCTAGTCTAATCAGTACCTGTATAGTTCCCCTATAGTAACCCTTGAAAGGACCCCTTTAAAGGAATCCTACCCTAGTTATGAAGGCCCCTATATTCGGGACGAGCGGGTTCGAGTTTCGGAGTTCAGGCTTCGATGGTTCCTGTGGGTATACACTTGTAGGGGATTGAAAGTTTAGGGTTTTGGGGCTTTAGGGGTTTCAGAGCTTTAAGGTTTAGTGATGTTTTGAGCTTTTAGGGGCTGCAGGGCTTTACCTGGTTTTAGGGCTTGGGGCTTAGGCTCCGAGAGCTCAGGGGCTCTTCGAGAGGACTCGGGGAAGGGTCCTTTGCCTTTTTCCTCGGCTCCGGCCGAAACCCCGAACCTAGCAAGAGGGTTGTGGGGAGGATTCTGTCTGCCTATCGGTCTGTATGCATACATATATACATGAATAGCGGTTTAAGGAAGTTTAAAGATCTTCTCGTTTCGGGGTTGTTGTGCTCATAGCTTGGATTATGATTGAAGCCGCGCTCCGAAACTCCCTATACATCCTAGTATGCTAGACCCTAAGTCCCCAAAAGCTATATCCCTAAACCCTACACCACTAGAGTTCTAAATCCCCAAGGGTTCTGTTATAAAGGGGCCTCAGTGATGAGAATAGGGTTTTGGGGCCATTCTACTATAACTATAGTAACTAGGAACCCCCAAAATAGTGTAGGTAATTATTTAGGCCCCTACATTAGTCGAATCCTCTCCAGCATCCCCTTTTTCTGAGGCAAAGATTCCAAGGACTCGCTTGTCGAGGTGCCCAAGCGACTGTCGGAATTCGTTCTTCCCTGGAGCTCCAGTTACCTCCATAGCAGGTTAGGGTTTAGGGTTTAGGGCTCCGGTTATAGTAGGCTTCTACCCATATAATCAGTGTACCCGATTCCATCGAAGATCCCTAAACCCCTTAAGCCTTAAACCCCAAACCTTTAAATCCCAAAGCCCCGGGGTCTGCGGTTGAGGGTTGACAAATGACAGTAAAGGGTTTAGGGTCAGGGAAACGCAGAGAGAAACATTGGGTTTTCTTGAGGGCTCCAGGTGCCTACATAATTACTACTTTACTGGGGTATGCTAAAAAAGCGGATAGTGACCTACTATTGAGGCAACTGGAGACCCAGGGTTTGCTGAACTACCCTCAACCCCCCCCCCCCCAGCCTTGCGCATTCCCACCGCATGGTGAGACTCGAAAGCGAGTGTTGTCCTCTCATGTCTCGTGCGGGCCGTAGAGTCAACAGCACAGGTCTGAAAAACACGGAGTAGTACTTCCTCGTCGTCCTTGTAGTTTTATAGCTACAGTGTCGTAGACGCTAAACGCTCGTCGTTGGAACAACAACTCAGCAACACCACCAAACCCTACGCTGGGACCCAGAGTAGGCCCCTTATTTCCTTTTTGCGGGTTTAGGTTCTCTTATAACACCCTTTAACCCAAAAAGGCACCTTTCTTATTCCTAGTCTACTCGAGTCTAGTACTGTATCAAATCCGGAGCCATCATTCCAACCAACTGACCCCGAGTCCCAAGCTGCGGAAGTCAACAGTTAATGTAGATGGCAGAACACTCCTGGCAGTATCACTGCATGACTGGCTTATACCTATACTGTACCACTTACAGACCCTTAAGGAACCCTTGACAACAGTGAAACCTACGCTAAACCTTCAACCCTTGAACTCAAGACTCTCACATCCGCTTGAATGTCCTAAAACCTTATCAAACGCGTTAAGAAAGAGCTCTGCAAGAAGTTACCTCTTCCTCATTCTAAATCCTCCTACAACCTCAACGTAGACCCCAAATGCCAAAACCTGGATTCCCTTAGGCCCCTGCATTGTCCACGGGCATCGCGACGAGCACCCTGGCCATCCCCGCACAGCCACCTGCCTCCTCCCGGCCCAAGGACGCTGCCTGGCTGAATTAAGCTGGGTCTTCCTTAAGCACGAAATGAACCCTAAAAGGGTTCAAGGTTCCTTAGGGCTACTTAGAAATAATTTTTGAGTTTTGGTTATTATAATAACCCCTAAGAAACAGCTGAAGTCATATTTTTTGTTGCGAGGGTTCTAAGTCCAGTATAGTAAGGACGAAATGAACCCTAAAAGGGTTCAAGGTTCATATACCATATAGGGATTCATAGTATATGGGTATAGGCCCCCTACTTTTAAGGATCATTTGGTCCTTCAGGTTGCAACTGTAGTGCCTTCTAGGGTATACGGGGTGTAGGGGGTTTAGGGCTCAGGGTGTTTAGGCTGGGTGTTTAGAGTGGTTTATGTAGAGTGTTTAGGGTTAAAACTTCAGGTTTGATGAAAGAGATTTCGGCTTACCTTGCTTGTCTTATGTGTGTAAGCGCGAGCTTTTGTTCGACCTTGCAGCTTTGGGTTAGGCGGAGACTACTCGGACTGTTCTGAAAGGGTTTAGGGTTTGGGGTTAAGGGTTTAGGGGTTAGGGATTGCAATCTGTCTAGTAGCCTGATGAAGATACTCTGGGTCTTTATTGGGGCTCTTTTTATGGATCCTGTGTACTACTTTAGGGTTATAGGGCCAGGGCTTCTTAATCAGGTTCCTTCTTTAGGGTCTCTAGGGACCCTACACTTATACCCAGGTCCCGCTTTTGTTACGGAATTAGATGCCTGCATAATCCCATGGCAGAGCCAGTACAACAGCAGAATGTCGATTCTTTCACCTTTATCCCTAAACCTTCTAACCTCCAGGGAACCCTCCATTTCCAAACCCCTGAACCCTAAATTCCTACACCCTGAGCGTTGGACATGTAAAAGCGTTTGGACCCTAGGCCGCCCACCTGAGTGGGTGCGTGGCGCTTAGCCCCGCGACCTCGATTGCAGAGCGATCCTGTACGCTTGCCCGCCTCTCCACAGCCATGGGGACAGCAGCACCCCGGTGCCGGAGCAAGTAAATACCCGAAAAGCTGCTTGTCCCCTGCCCTGCTCCTGCCCCCTGCCCCTGGCTGCCGGGAGAGAAAAAGGAGAAAAGCTTTACCCCTAGATCCCTAAACCCTAAACGCTTTAGAACCACTCACCAAAAAGGCCACCAGAAACATGCTCAAAAACCCTAAACACCCCTGAATCCTACAAGTTTAAAAGCCCTAAACCCGTAAATCCCTAAACCCCTAAATCCCGAACCCCTAAAAGCTTAAAAAACCCTAAACCCCACAATGCAAAACCCTGAAAACCGCGGGAGGCTCTGGAGCCGGCAAACCTGGTGCCTTGCCTTCTTGACCGGGTTTCCTAGGGATCTAAGAACTCATATATTAAGGCTTTTGGGCTATTTTGATCCCCCAGGGGTTAAGGGTAAAGGAGGGTTTGGGGTTTAGGGAATTTTTGGTATCGGGCTTAGGGTTCCGTGCGGTTTGGGGTTCTAGGTTGAAGGGCTTTTAGGGTATTATATACCCCAAAACCCTGTTCTAATACGAAAAAGCCATATTTTAGGCTTTAGGGTTCAGTGGGCGTTTGGGGTTAAGGGTAAAGTTTAGGTGTTCAGGTTGTTGGGTCTTGGGGTTAAGGGGTCTAGGGTGTAAGGTTTAGGGTGGGTTCAGACGTTTGGGGGTTTAGGGTATAGATAGTATAGAGACTCTCCTTCGTCAGTAAGCAGAGGCTATGATTTGGGGAAATCTCTTAGAGGTCCAGCAGATAACACAAGAGCCGTGAACAGCAAAAGCCCTGAAACAGCACCCACGAGCCCAACCCAAAATAGCACGAACTAATGGCATAATTCTAGGGTTTAGGGTTTAGGGTTAAAGCAACATAGCAGCAACAACTCTAAAGCAGCACTCAAGCGCTGGACGATGGGCCCTAATCGATAACGTAGAAAGTCATGGCCACGTGGTTGACAGCCTCACCGATTAACACAACCTGGAATATTCTTCAATCTTTGGTTATCATAATCCCTAAGAAGCAGCTAAAATTGGATGTTCTTTGGCTGGGGAGTCTTCGTTCAGTATAGACAATGCCCTAAAGATTCGGATCTTGGTACAAAGGAGCCCACCCAAGACAGGTACCCTAAACCCTAAGCCCCTAAATAGCTCAGTTTGAGAAACCCTGGTTGAGGGTTCGGGGAAAATCCCGACGCAGGGTTTTCCGTTTGTGGCTCGGGGTTTCAAGTTTGGGCTCGGGGTCTAGATGTTTTTGGCGTGGGGGTTAGGGCTCAGAGTTTAGGTTAAGCGTGTTTTGTCCTCGGGTTGAGGGCTTCCTCGTAGGGGCCGCATCGATGCCGCAACATTACTTGGAAGGGCAGGGGACTTAGTAAGTAGGTTATAAGTAGGGTTATAATTGGGGTAACTCCATTTAGGGCACTTATAACTCTACTTATAACCTACTTACTAAGTCCCCTGCCCTTCCAAGTATTATGGTCAAGAATGTAGACGTAGAGCACTGTGCCTATTGGGCAGTACTCTCGATCACATTTCCTGAGACAGCCGTCGTCCGACTTGGGATTCAGAGTTTCAATCAATGATCAGGGGAGGGTGATGTTGCTCTGAAGACATTGGGGCTTTATAAAAAAACGCCGATAGAAGTATATCATGTGACTATCCTTTGACAAAGTCTCAGAGGCCCCTTCATAAAACCTTTCCTTATAAAGCCATACCACCAGTGTACTCGTCTTCAGTTGCCGTCTTGCACGGTGTTTGTGCCACGGCACAGGGCCTTCGAGCATTCTCACCACAAGTAGTCGTTCAGATCCTCAAAACAAGATCTTGGCCTCGTCACCCTGATCCGGAAAATTTAAACCATGAGTATGGGTTCGCTTCCTTCCCCAATGCAAATACATTGCAGTTTCCCCTCTGAAACAGGTGCGACTGCTCAGATTCTTAAATTTAAGCTCTTTCTATGGGACACGGTGTCATGTTTAGCGAACATCAACCATAGTCCCTCTACCTTAAACCTAGTCTATATATATATATATATATATAACATGCAGGCTTTTGCTCGCCCTAAAGACCTGCATCCTCTAAGTTGCTCGCATCCGACATCGAGCAGCCGAATCAATCGACCGGATTTCTGGCCCTACGTTTGCCTGAGATTGTGAGCCCGATTCTTGCCGGAAATTATGTTTCCTTCTCAAGCTGAGATCTTTTGCTATACCAGGTCTTTGCAAGGGGTCTAAGAAGGCCTTCACGGGGGCTGTATGGGGTTCACGTGGTTCGTCATGTAAGGCTTTGGGATCACCTTGGATCGAACTAACTATGTGTCGGTCGCCTCTCTTTATGAGGTGCTTGGGGCGTCAAATGGGCACACATGCACACACACTGTACTCTTCCTGTTACTTGTTGAGACGCTGGTTTCCTCCTGGCTCGTCGATGATTGACGTAATGTTGGCAGCTGTCATTATCGGCATCACTGACGCGACAACAATGAAGTGGGAACACGATATTCTCGTGATGGTGAAAACGATGATACAGGTGATTAAAGGGAACTCCAGAAAGTTGGAATATGGCTTCATGGTAGGATACCCTATAATTTACCATAGAGGGCTTAGGATACTCATATTCCAACTTTCTGGCTTTTTCCTTATGATGATGGTGCCGTCCTCAGGCCGAGATGAGTCTGAGCATGTGAGAACCAGGGATGTTTGAGCAAAGCCTCCCAACCAAAAAAATCCGAAACCCTGAACCCCAAACCCTTACTTGGAAGGGCAGGGGACTTAGTAAGTAGGTTATAAGTAGGGTTATAATTGGGGTAACTCCATTTAGGGTACTTATAACTCTACTTATAACCTACTTACTAAGTCCCCTGCCCTTCCAAGTAACCCAACCCAATCCACCTGAGGAGTCGGCTTGCTCGACAGATATCCGCAACATCTGCGACATCGGAGCACAAATCGGCCAGCGCCATGAGCCTGAGCCAGATGTCTCCCAAGTCACTGCAGTCACTGCAGGTGATCGCAGAGGCGCCGCTGTTGCTCTCCTATTCCCATAGCATAGGGGTTCCCAGAAGGCTTACCATGAAAGTTCCCATAAGGGTTGCCATAACAAGGGCGACTGCAAGTTTGCGTCACCAGTTTGGCTGTCGGTGTTGTTTGTGGGATCCACAAGAATCCCGAATCCCTCTTCCGTGGTACTGGGTCGGTTGTTTTTTAGCTCGTCTGTGTCATTTTTTGAACAACACAACGCACAACTGTGCATGGGTTGTACTTGTGTTGCACATTACATGCAGGTGTGTAAGTTCATGAGTTCGTGCGCACACCGACATGTTCATGCGCATACACGGATCTGTAAAAGGCTGCCTCTGTGAACAAACACGCAGCATAGCCGAACACGGCCTGAAACCTTGCAATCTGAACCCTAAATCCCAGAAGCTGAAGATTCACACAGCCTCTTCCTTCCTGTCCTAAAGCCCTCCACTCCACCTTTATGACCCCTTAGGCCTTAGACCCTCCATCCCAACCTCCTCACTTCCCAACGACATCTTGGCAGCCAAAAATCCTTGTACAAGTCATGTTGACAAGACCTAGATAAGATGCAGCCAACTTGTACCAAACCCTCACAGAGCCTGAAACCTGATACAACACGTTTTTGCAAAACTTAACCCTTCGATAAAGCCGTGCATAAGCACATGATTGCAAAACCTGAACCCTGACACAAATCCATTGTTGACCCTCGCGCACTAAGCCCCGACGACGATGCAACTGCGAGTCTATGACTATGATGACAGTCACGCTAAACCCAATCCCGAAAAGATAGCCGTAAATCCGAAGTTCAAGCCCAATATAAGGGCCGAAAGAAGTAATTCCCTACGTTGTTTCCGGGTTCCATGTTTTCATTATAGTATCATATAATCATATACCCCGAAACCCCATTCTAATAGTTACCTTAACCTCAAGTCACCTACCTGTTTAAGGACTTATATATAAAGAAATCATATTAGGGAACCCCCAAAAGGCAGGTTCCTTAGGGTCCAGGTAAGGCCCCCTTTTGAAAGCAGGAGCTGGAGATCGGTGGGCTTCCTGGCGGCATCAACCCCATGCGAACGTCGACTCTCTCCTCGAGCGCCTTGGCGTCAGAGGGTGGAGGGCTTAAGGTTTCAGTTTTCTTACCTTTGGTTAGTAGGGAATGGAAGAATGGTAGTACCCTAAGGCCCCAAAGTAGTTCCTTTTTGGGCTTCGTATATAGAATCCTATAAGGTAATCCCAAAAAGGAACTACTTTGTGGCCTATGGGTAATAGTAGTTATAATTGCACCCCACTACTCCATTCCCTACTAAACAAAGGCAAGTTTTTGGGTCGAAGGTTTATGGTTCAGGGGTTTTGGGGTTAAGGGGTTTAGGCTTAGGGGTCCAGGATTTGGGTTAGGAGGTTTCGGGTTTCGGCTTAGGATCTAAAGTACATTCAAAAGGTTTCAGGTATAAGGGTTTGGGGTTGAAGATATGGGGTTTGGAGTTTGAGGTCTGGTTTTAGCGTTTAAGGGTCGAGGTTTCACTCAATTGCCAAGCCCCAATTGCGTTGAGTCAAAGCAGACGCCTAAAGTCATGTTGGCTTTAATGTAAAGGGCATACCAACCCCATAAATATCCTAGAAAAGCTTGGATAGCCCACGCCACCCTTGTGCCTTCATGAAGAGGCATTTGGGATCTCTGGTGTCAGGTGTGGTCAGGTGTGGGTCTGGGGTGTAGGGTAGTTTGGGCGTAGGTTCAGCCCTTTGGTTCTCAGCTTTAGGGCTTTTATGGTAGATGCGTTTGGGTAATTACGATTTTTAGGGTTTTGGGTTTAGGCTCACGGCCTTGGTGTGTGGGGCTTTGCATTTGAAGGCTTCGTGGCGCTAGGTTCAGAGCTTTGTCCCTCAAAGTGTATGGCTACGCTGAACTCTGGTTCCCGCGAAGCAACAGAACTAGCGGCTAGTAGAGGCCTGAAGATTCAGTAATGTTGACAATCCAAATCGCCCAAACTAGGTGCATTGATTGGCTTTAGAGCCCTAGGCCCTGAGCCTTTAGTATCCCTTCTACCGACTATAACATGCCAAGGACCACTGCAATCGGATGCAGGCAGTGCTGTACTTTGTGAGCAACCCTTAAAGCCCTAACTACCCTAAATCCTACACCCTATATACACCCCAAGCCCTACATCCTAAAATGTGCTGCCAAGGTTTGCTCACGTTTTCCTCAATGTCGGTGACAGGCGCCTTGCCTGGTGACACGTTGTTGAGGATTTCTACCGCCTTTCCGGGAGACTTAGATAGAGATGAAATAATTATGGGTTTCGGGTTCCCTTTGAAAGGGATACTATAAGGATTCTATCAGGGATTTAGGGATATAGAGGCCTTAATAATTGCCCATACTATTCTGGGGGCTCTTTGTTAGAGTTATTGTATTTTGGCCCCCCCAAAACCCTTAACAATCAAAACGAGCAGGGTCTGATGCAGAGCATTTGTTCTAGGGCTTTTTGTACAATGATCAGGTTTCGTACTTCAACTCCCGCCCCCCCCCCCCCCCCCCCGAAGCCCTACACCCCCAGAACCACACAGGCCCTATAAACACTAAAAAACCCAAAATCCCTAGATCCCCTTAACCCCCTCAACTCTTAAACCCTAAGGCTCTCGAGCCCCACAGAACCCTAAACCCTAAACCCCCTAAACCCTAAACCCCCTAAACCCCCTAAACCCCCTAAACCCCCTAAACCCCCTAAACCCCCTAAACCCTAAACCCTAAACCCCACAGAACCCTAAACCCTAAACCCCCTAAACCCCCTAAACCCCCTAAACCCTAAACCCCCTAAACCCTAAACCCTAAACCCCCTAAACCCTAAACCCTAAACCCCCTAAACCCTAAACCCCCTAAACCCCCTAAACCCTAAACCCCCTAAACCCCCTAAACCCTAAACCCTAAACCCCCTAAACCCTAAACCCCCTAAACCCTAAACCGCCCCACAGAACCCGAAACCCTATAGATCCCTTTTAAAGGAACCCTTAAAGGAACCCTTATAGATCCATTTTAAAGGAACCCTTAAAGGAACAGGAACCCTTGCCTCGAGATTCTCAGGGAGCTGCTGCCGCGCGCTCCTGCGCCAATTTGTGAACTCGACACCTTTCGAGCTGTTCTTCGGCTTCCTGTGCCTCGGTGGGCTTTTGGGGGCCTTTATGGGTTTGTAGGTTTGGTTGAGTTTATATAGGAACTTAAAGATTTAAAGTTTAGGGTTTCAGGTTTAGGAAGGTAAGGTTCAGCGTACTGGGCTTCCCGCGCCATGGTGAGAGTCTAGGGGGTTTTAGGGGTTACCCGAATCCTCAAACATAATTAGCCAACACCCATAAGGGTACCCTTTAAGGACTAAAGGGAGCCCAGAAAGGGGCCTTTTAAGGGACACTGTTCTACAGACTCTTGGCGTCCAGGACGAGTTTAGGGTTTAGGGTCTTTGGCTTCCTGCGCACTTTTTGGGGTTCAGGGGCTAATAAGGTTACCCATACTCGGATGTCTATGAGAGGTTACGATCGGTTTTGTCGAGTCTGGGCTTCATGGATCCCGGATCGACTCCTTAATCAATACCTGCACTGTGCTGGGGGGTCCTTATGATAATTATAAGTATAGTACATGCGCCCCAAAACCCTTTTCTGCTTATGAAGGCCCCTATACTATTGTGGCTATGGTAGCTTAAACTTGAACACGTGCATGTCGGCAAACAGACTTGAACCATGTATTCAGAGACCCTAAACCCTGTCCCTATGTCCTGAAATCCCCTACACCTAACCGACCTAACGTTTCTGAAATACTTATAAGCTAGAGGTTTGAGTAATTTCAGATTGCATCCCCTTGTAGTCTTCTCTTAGATATACTGTATCATACCACCCAAATTGCCGTTCTCAATATCAGGGCCCCTTTCTTCCATCCTTTAAACCCCAAAAGCAAGCCACTGAGAGACTGAAGAGGCTGCAATTTCATTCAGATCACATGGCACCATCATGTCGTGCGCATAACCTAGGGCTTTCTAAAGGGGTTTACGGGGGCTTTATAGGGTCTTAAGAGGATTCTATATGAGGTTTTATTGCTTCATTCAGAGGATCTTAGACGGTTTTGGCTTGGGTGTTTAGTGGTTTAAAGGGTCCAGAAGGGGTGTTTGAAAAGCACTGTTCTTAGTGGATTACGAGGTCCTGCCTGGTTCCACGGTCGCATGACTCAGTAAGTATGTTACACCGCTTAGATGCCGTCTGACATAAGTCCTGCCACTTTCGGTCGGCCATCAAGGGGCCCTGATTTTCGGAAGCTGTTAGACTCCGAAGCCCTATAAACCCCAAATATCGAAGCCCTAAAACCGAAGCCTTGAGATCCCACTCCGAAGCCTAAGGCCCAAACCCTGAATCCAAAACCCCAAGGCCCAAGACCTCAAATCGTGAGGGCCCCAGCTCCCTAAATGATCGCTTACTGGGGTACAACACATATATATATATATATATATTTATATTTATATATATATATATATATGTATATATCTTTATTTATTTATGCATACATACACACACAGAGGTTGTAACCTACTTTATAGAAAGTTGGAGTTCTGGGGTTGCCTATGGGAGGACTCTAAGGGCATCTGGGGTGAACCATGAGCCTACTTACAAGCTACCGACCCCGAAAGTATGTAGAATAATCGGCCGTTATAGGTGTAGGACCATTTTTTTACCTACTTTTAGGGGATTTAGGTATTCTAAGGCTGCTGAGCCTCCGAGTAGCCTTAAATCCCACACTTTACACCCTAAAAATGAATATGGTTATAGATGTATATACATGTAGATATAGCGTGCCCATGCCCAACCCAGGATCTTTACCAACTCAGTCCTGATCGGGGCCACGATCCAATGGCAATCGCTGAACCGCACAGTGGACATGCCGGACCCGCACCTGTGCTTCGTGAACCCAGAGATTCCAATATCCCTTAATCTAGGATTATTCCTTAAATCAGATTAGGATTTCTACTGTAATTTAGGGTATATTCCTTAACCAAGGGATATTGGAGTCCCCTGAACCCTATAAACCCCACAGATCCCTGAAAGGAGCGCTAGGTCAAGGGATATTGGAGTCTCTTGGAACATTCCGCGCTTCTGAGCAAGTACGAAAGTTTCACAGCCTATGCACGACAGCTTAATTGAACCTTTGCATCGACACGATGTTGGCCGGTTCAAGGGTTTGGCTCATGGGGGTGTGTGTTTAGAAGTTCAGCTTGTGGATATGAGAGTGTGTGTGTGTGTGTGTGTGTGTGATGTGGGTTTAGGGCTGGAGGCTTCTTTGTAATATCCCGTCATCGGGATGTTGCTGCAACGATGATTCCTATGTTGCTGTGGCTATGATAATGCAGGGGACCAACCATTCCTACATCAACAGGGTTTACATGTGCAGCTGTTGCGCCGTACTCCATACATCCCTGCACTATCAATCCACGGCCCTACACTAAATCACTTTTGCATGACAATGCTTCGTCATTTCCCTGCGAGCAACCCTAGTACCCGAAACTCTGGGCCTTAATCTCTCGCCGTCCGTCCTAGTTGCTGCCCATCCAGGAGCCTCTGCACGTCGTGTCCACGATCTACAACGCGCCTTGTCCGGCAGACCTCATACCATGAAAAGTTCCAATACTATTTTGGGGCTCCTCGTTGTAACTATAGTATGCGTAGTATGCCCCAACAACCTCAAACAGTGAAAAAAAATCCTAGAGAATCTGCTCCGAGACCCGAATCCCCGAACCCAACTTCTATCCCAACTCCCACGAACCCTAAGAAGACCACGTACCCACAAAGTGTATACTTAAGCCCGAGAGTCTCCCCTCTTTATAGGTACTTGTGGGCCAAAGTATATACTACGGTTGATGATATCAATCCTGCATTACCTTAATGACCCTAGGCTATGGAAATTATGGTATATTCTTTAGTAGGGGTCATGCAGGATTTGTATCATCAACGGTATATGGGTACATGGAGTCTTATACTCTAAGCCCCATCAAACCGCCATGGCAACCCGTAAAGGTTCCAAAAGTATATACTACATGGGTACATGGACCCTAAGCCCTAAAAACTCATAGAACCGCTATAGCAACCCTTGAAGGAGCCACAATAAGTATTTACCAAAACAAAGCCCGATAGAACCGTTGCAGTAACCTGTAAAGGAGCCCGTAAAAGACCGCTTAAAGGAACCCGCCAGAACCAGTGAAGGGCTTGGGCTAGCCGGGGTCAGAGGCCAGCTGCGTGAGAGCATTCTTCGGTTTAGGATCCAGGTTTTAGGGTTTAGGGTTCAGGTTTTAGGGTTTAGGGTTTAAGGTTTAGGGTTTTAGGTTTTAGGGTTTAGGGTTTAGGAATTAGGTTTCAGGGTTTAGGATTTTAGGCTTAGGGTATCAGGTTTTAGGTCTTAGGGTTGAGGGTATCAGGTTTTGGGGTTCGGGTTTTGGGGCTTTGGGTCTAGGGCTTCAAATCTTACAGCAACTAGGTTTCGGGTACAGGGTTCTTTAAAGCAGTAAGCTGCTCAGCTGAATCCCAAACCCTGACCAAGAAACTCTGAATCCCCAGACCCTCAAAGCATCATTATTATTATTACTATTGTTATGGTTTTTAAGATTTTATTATGATTATTTTTTATCTTTATTCGCATCCTATTTGAGTAACTGGAGCCCTACAGTCTAGTCTACCCAAAGCCTCCAAAACCCCTTAATTAAGGAATATACCTTAAATTATAATAGGATCCCTTATATGATTTAAGGTATATTCCTTAATTAAGGGGTTTTGGAGGCTCTGGGTAGTTAGAGATTTGAAGGCACTCTTCGTTCTGGAGCTCTCTTTGCGGCTCATTGGTCTGGGCTGCAAAGAGTTTTTCTGCACCTCCAGCTACCTGGCGCCGGTAGTTTGGGTTTAGGGTTTACGGTTTGGGATATGAACCCTACCTGGCAGATCATGGGACTTGGTAAGTAGGGTTATACGTATCTGAATTGGGGTTGTGACTACAAGTAATATCACTATAGTTCTTCCTGATACTAGCCCTCGTTACTAACGTCCCATGATCCTTTAAGCAAGCCCCAACCCTTAAACCCTAAACCCCAAAACCCGTAGAGCCATCAAGCCTAAGGGTTTCGGGCATCTTCAGTCTTGAGGGTGTAGGCTTGAGTTCACTCGCCTGTTCACGGCATGGAGCTTCCATGGCCAGTCCTGGGTTGCGGGTTTGGGGTTTTAGATGTTCGAAGGCTTCCGACCATGTGTATATGGGGAATTATACATAAGTATGTGTGTATATATATATGTATCTTTATATATATATATATATGTATCTTTATATATATATATGTATCTTTATATATATATATGATGTTTATTTGTCTGTTTGTATACTTGTTTGTGTTTTCATACCTATTTGTTTCTGTAGCGTGCATTGAAGCATCTTTTCCGAGCATCTCTGTAGTCTCAGTTCAGCTGCTGTCGTGCTTGCCGCTTGTTTGCAGCCAGGACGACGGCTAGCCCCAACATGCAATATTATCTCCTCAACACGAAGTTGTCACGAAGCTGTACCCAAGGAGCCCAAAACTCCTTCAATGAGGGACTTCTCGACCCTTACTAGGATGTCAGGTATCTTGCTTGCGTGTCGTGTAACATAGGGGCCTAAATAATTACCAATACTATTTGGAGGGCTTCGTATTACAATTACAGTATAATATCATGGGCCCCCAAACCCTGTTCCAACTTTCCCATCCCACACAACAGTCCTTTGTGAACTATTAGGGCCTCTACATTAAGATCTGATCTGTATGAGCCCCACAGTGGCGAGTCTCGAATTTCCTAGGTAACGTCAGATTCAACTGGTTTGACTTCGTCATCGTGGTCTCGATCATGCCCGAGTTCGTCATGCCTTTCTTTGGCATGGATGCATCGAGGCAACGACATCAAGGGAACTCCAGAAAGTTGGAATATGGTTTTAGGGTAGGATACCCTATAATTTACCATAAAGGGTTTAGGATAATCATATTCCAACTTTCTGGCTACTACTATAGTACTTCAGACACGAGCTGTAGGGTTTGGGGTTTCGGGCTTTGTACTTGGAGTTTGCAGAGTTGCTGTGGTGCTGCGTCTCCGGGTATCAGCTTTGGTATCCTGAAGAAACAACCGCTGCTGGAGCTCCTCACGAACCAATAAATCTAAACCGTAAACCCCAAACTCCAAGCTGGAAACTCCAACCTTAAACCGCTAACTACAAACCCCAAACCCCTTTCCACCTGTTGGCCCTGAGCTTTTCCAAACGAGCGAAATAACCATCCTAGCCCTAAACTTCTTTGGGGTTGCAGGGTATAGGATTTAGGGTTTGAACTCTATGGATCCACAGGATTTAGAGTTTCAGGGTTTAGGCTCCAGGGATCCTTGGGTTTAGGCTATTGGGATCCTTGGGGCTCAATTCGGGTTTCACGCTTAGGCACCTTGAAACCAAGGTAAAACCCTTCATTCTGGGGATCCAAATAGCCCAAAAGCCTTCTTTAGTATGGTCTTTGGGCCCAAAAGCCTTAAAACATGAGTCCTTAGATCCCTAGGGTTAATCATCCCTAAACCATGCCAGCTTTAATCGCCAAGCCCGAAATCCCAGCGCTGCGCGGTCAGACTCCGCCTTGTCCATGGGCGTAGCCCCGTTACTTGGAAGGGCAGGGGACTTAGTAAGCAGGTTATAAGTAGAGTTATAAGTACCCAAAATGGAATTACACTAATTATAAGCCTACTTATAACCTACTTACTAAGTCCCCTGCCCCTCCAAGTAAGGGACTAAACACTGATTCCTAAACCCCGAAGCCCTAAACCCCAAAACCAAGCCGGGTATAGGCTCAAGATCTGCCAGCTCTTAGCTGGAAACTCCCAGACCCCCCAGTCCTAACTCCCCTCGAACCTGTAAGCAGGTGGGCAAGCAGCGGCAGCAACCTGCGGATTCTCCGAATTCTCCGTCTCACCCGCCTCATCCGAGTCGTCCGAGTCCTCCGCATTGTCCGGCCCCTTGGCTAGAGTTTGCAGATTCGGCTTTAGGGTTAGGGTTTAGGGTTTTGAGTTTAGGATTTCGGGTAGACTGTCTCGAAGTTTCAGGAGTTCTGACCCCTCCGAATGCTGGCAGACAGCGAGAGAAACAGGCATGCAAGAGCAGGTCGCTGCGACGCCAATGCGACGACTACTGTTTCCTGCACGTCCGGTCTACCCTGCCTACACTACTTTGGGGCTCCTCAATGCAATCACAGTACAGTATACCCCTAAAATAGGTGCCTCACAAGAGTCCAAATTCGGAGCATTGCCCCAAGCTGTCGGCGGTTTGCGGCGTCAGCACGCCATCCCTCAGTAATGCGTGGGTTCAGGGTTAAGGTTGTGTGATCTTGAAACCCTAAACCCCAAAATGGTCGGAGCCTGCTTGCTGATGGAACCTGCCGCCTGCATGCAGATGCCGGCAACCAAGTTATCCAGCTCGGGTCTACACCGAAACATACGACTGCAAATCCAAACCCCGCAGCTTAATATGGGTACTGAAGCAAGACGCATCAATCGCATCCCACTACAGCCCCTGTTCAACGGGACATGATATAGTGTACTCTACCCCGAAACCCTGTTCTAATTCTTACGGCCTAAGTTAACCCTGCACAGCGGCAGACCCCCTTGATGCGAATACCAGTAACTCACATAGTGGACTACTGGTACTGGGAGGTAGGAAAAGGCTGTACCAGATTTCTATCGTGAGCTGCTGTTTCTGAAAAACCTCCTTTGGACCTAAAAGTATGAAAATCTCTCATTAATCTACGCTATAGGTAAGTGCTCACCATGCCCATCATGCCGAACTCCAGAACCCAATCCCCCAACGGCTAGGGTTTAGGGCTTAAGGCTTTCGGGTTTAGGTGTAGAGTTCATTAAGGTTGAAGGTCGTGGGTTCAAGTTTCGGGGTTTAGAGTTTCGGGTGTGAGGTTCAGGATTTTGGCTTTAAGGTCTTGGCTTTAGGGCTTCTGAGGTTAGCCCCCTAAACCCTAAACCCTAAACCCTAAGCCCTAAACCCTAAACCCCTAAACCCTAAACCCTAAACCCTAAACCCTAAGCCCTACAACCCAACCCACAGGTTCTTCAGATCGCTGCAGACTTTGATCCATTCGATCTTGAGTACTCTGCGAGATTTGTCTGGCTCCCAGCATCTTTCCTAGGACCCAGAGTAGGCCCTTATTCCCTTTTTTAGGGTTTAGGTTCTCTTATAACCCTCTTTAACCCAAAAAGAGCACCCTTTTTGTTCCTAGGTTACTCTTAGGCCTAGTTTCTGCTTCTAGGGCTTAATATAGGGGCCTTAATAATTACGTATACTGTTTTGGGGGTTCCTTATTATAATTATGGTATAATATGCACCCAAACCCTATTCTAATTACTAAGGCTCCTATAGTAGGGGTTTAGGGTCTAGGGGTTCGGCGCCGAGGGTTTCGGTGCATGGGGTTGAGGGGGTATTTGGGAGCATTTAAAGTTTAGGGGTCGGAGCATCCCCGGAGATGATCAGGGATCCTTTAAGGGTTCCTTTAAGGGATCGATAAGGCTTCCTTTAAAGGGGGTGTGTGAGGGGAAAGGATTTTTTCACGGTGCTGTGAGGAATGTTGAAAGGATTCGAGCCGAAATTGTTTTGCCAGCAGGCTGAATAGAGAAATCCCAGTTATCTAGCCGCTCCGGGGAGGAATTAGAACCGGATTTGGGGTAACTCTACAGTCTTAATACCTAGGGACCATGATGAGGGGATACTGTTACAATGTAGTCTGGCCTGGGACTGTGCCTTCGTAACTCATGCTTCTTACTCAAGGTTTTCGAGCCGAAGCCCAAATGGGTTCAGGGTTAGGTTACTCTTTAGGGTTTAGGGTTCAGGGTTTAGTGTTTAGGGATTTAGGGGTTTAGGGTTTAGGGTTCAGTTGGATTTTGAAGGCAAAATCTGCAGACTCGACATCCGACAAGGTAACCTCAGAGCTGACCACTTTAACACAAAGATTGTTCAAACCCTTAAGCAACCCTTGAAATTATAGTCAGAACACTACTTGGAGGGTCGGGGGACTTAGTAAGTAGGTAGTAAGTAGTTTTACTAGTACCCTAGATGGGACTCTAATTGGAGTTATGGTACTTATAAGTCCCTAAAATAACCAGTTATTAAGTCCCCCGACCCTCCAAGTATAGAAGCGTAATATGCCGAAGCAGCTTGAGGTTTTACGGAAAAGGGCAAAGGGTTGAGGCCTTGGGCCTTGATGTAGGGTCCTCAGAACTGTTTCTGATATTCTCACGTTCCCCCCTTAGCGGAGGAGCCTCTACATGTAGCTGCACTTCTTTCCCTAAGCAATAGTTATAGACATGGCTTCAGTTCTACCAGGACTTTAAACCCAACGCAGATACAGTCAGATCCGTCGGAAATCAAGCAAGCGCCGTCGAATCTGTTATGTCGGTTAGAGCTGCTTGGTCCCATCAAGCCGGAGCAAAGCTGGTACCAATACTGTGCCCCGAGCGTTAATCATGAGAAACCATTGCGAGCCAGGTTTTGGGCCATGCTCCTTCTGGTGATGCTTATCTACATGCTCCTTGATATATATATATATATATATATATAGATGTATAGATATAGATATATATATATATATACCCTTAGGCACGAAACCCTCAATCCTATTCTTTAAGTCCTAAGCCCGAAACCCTAAACCCTATCATTTATGAATTCGGAATGTCGACTTCCTGCGTCCAGGAACCCTCAGCAGTTCGGCCTCGAGGGTGTGAGGATTTGCATGTAGCCATGGTGGCTGATTTGAACTGCGGATGGTGGTGGTGGTGGTGGTGGTGGTGGTGGTGGTGGTGGTGGTGGTGGTGGTGGTGGTGGTGGTGGTGGTGGTGGTGGTGGTGGTGGTGGTGGTGGTGGTGGTGGTGGTGGTGGTGGTGGTGGTGGTGGTGGTGGGGGTGGTGGTGGGGGTGGTGGTGGTGGTGGTGGTGGTGGTGGTGGTGGTGGTGGTGGTGGTGGTGGTGGTGGTGGTGGTGGTGGTGGTGGTGGTGGTGGTGGTGGTGGTGGTGGTGGTGGTGGTGGTGGTGGTGGTGGTGGTGGTGGTGGTGGTAGTAGTAGTAGTAGTAGTAGTAATAGTAGTAGTATTAGTAGTGGCAGAAGTAGAAGTGGAAGTAGAGGTAGAGGTAGAGATAGAAGTAGAAGCAGAAGTTGTTGTAGCGCAAGTAGTTGTAGTAGCCGTCGCCCAGGAAACGAAGCCGACCGCTTAAGAGGTCTGAACAACTATTGCTAATGCCCCCCCCCCCCCGGCAGTCTCAGCACAAGTTCTAGCAGATGGTTTAGGGTTTACCTTAAGCCGGAATAACCTACCTTTTTAAGGACTTATATCAGGAAATCATAATAAGGAACCCTAAAAAGGTAGGTTATTCAGGGTTAAGGTAGGGTATTGAAAACCCCCAGGTGGCGCAAAGCAGCCTGGGACCCGAAGCCCTCACCACATGTCAGGTTTAGGATTTAGGGTTTACAGGTGTTCAGAGGAGGGGCTTATAGGGTTTATAGGGGTTTATGGCAGTTTCTAGGATTTAAGGTTCAGGGGAGGAATTTACAGGGTTTACAGGGGTTTATTGCGGTTTCTAGGCGTGTTTAGGGTTAGACCGGAAGCCCGAAAAAGCCGAGGTTTGCCGTGCTCTTCACGGAGGTGGCCAATCAAGCATTGTCCGAGCCAGGCAGCACATCTCGCGAGGAGGACGGACGCCCTGAAAGAGTGTAACCTTGTATGTTGATGGTGTTCGGCCCTACAATCTCAACCATTTGGGCTCGTGGGTGTTCGGGATGTTTCTGGTTTGATCCTTGGCTTTTGAGCTCGGGGTTTGAGATGTTGCGCTGTGCTCGAGACGCAGTCCTCTGGTGCGGAGTCTGGTGCGAGTAGGAGGGCAAGGACAATCAGCACGACCGGGCTGTCAGAAGCATGTTTACAGGCAAATGATGGACAAGAAATGAATTTCCAGGGCAATCTGAACTTCATTGTACGCACGTGCCGAAGTTTGTGGCCCCTATGCGCAAGTGATCGTGTGTTTTCACACGTCTCGGAAATGATCATGTACGCATAGATGTAGGGATTGTTGCAGATGTTAATGGCGAGCCAAAACGCTACTGCACACACAGCTGAACATATGGAAACTGCCGAAGCGCCGATATCCGTTTGACACCCGGAAGCTACATCACATGAGTCCATAACCCCAAGGGTTCAAGTACCTAATAATCACTTGCTCTTCAAGATCCTACCCTGCATAACTACTCTCCTAAAACCGAGTACCAAATTATTGGGTCCTTTGGACCCTTAAAGGGAACTCCAGAAAGTTGGAATATGGATTAATGGCAGGATCCCCTATAATTTACCTTAAAAAGATTATGATAATGATATTCCAACTTTCCGGCTTCTACTGTAGGGTAATGCCAAGCCCAACCTGAGAGCGAGGAACAGATGGAGCTTCTCAGGCTTTTCGGGGATCTGCGGCAAACCATCCACACGCTGTTTCTTCGGCAGAGTTCATCCCAAGACCAAGATTTGTTTTGAGTAAGGACTTTATGATAGAACCCCTGGGCCTGCTGTGGTTGTTAACCCTTTCGCCGGCGTGCTTGCTGGGACCCCAGGGGCGGCACTAAGGCCTAGGATTGTTTCCAGGCCGAAGAGCACCCAGCAAGCAGGCGTGGGGGTCACAGTAGGGCGACAGTGCCGGCATTTTGGGTCTCTTCGTGGCTGGAGGCTGACGTGTTTCTTGCGGGAGGGTTCCCGGTTCGAACCTGGTGATCGCGCTTCTACACTTGACATGATCTGATGGAACAGCTACCAGTGGATCCTGTTTCACGCGGGGAGTGAGCGGTTACGCAAGTGTCGATGGTACAGCAGTTCGGCTTGATCGTGGTTCTCGCCTGGAGTGCGCAGTTACGCAAGCGGCTATGAGCTGATGGAAGCTCTGTCGGGATGGATCCCGGTTCGCGCCTGGTGTGCGCGGTTACGCAATCGGCAATGAGCTGATAGCCCTGGCGGGATGGATCCGGTTCGCGCCTGGAGTGCGCGGTTACGCAAGTGACAATGAGCTGATGGAAGCTCTGTCGGGATGGATCCCGATTCGTGCCTGGAGTGCACGGTTACGCGAGCTGCAATGAGCTGATGGAGACTCGAGTCGGGATGGATCCGGTTTGCGCCTGGGGTGCGCGGTTGGCCACCCGGTTCGCCTGCCCTAAGACCCTATGTTTTTTCACGGTTTTCGTTGTGGTTTGATCCTTAAGCCTTCGGGCCGGAGGTGATGCCACTGCTAACTAACAGGCCAGGCCTTCGGGTCTCGGTCGTCCCTCCACTCCACTCCACTTTATGATAGAAGCGCGTGATACATCTGAATCGAGTTCTGAAAAAAGTAGTACATAATGAGAAAGGCACTAGTATTCCCAAGGCTTCAGTGGCTCCGATCCTGATGCCTCAGTTTGCTTGGGCTTTCGCTTCGGCCCGCATGTGAGGCGTTTTGAGGCCTCGAATCCCCGAGCGTCCGAATTGCGGGGATTTATGAGTACCCGACTCAGTTCAGGAATATGCCTTGAATCGTTGGTTTGCCTTAAGGTATCTCATTACTTGTGCGACTATTAATTCAAGAAACCCGAACAAGGAAGGCTAGAAAGTACGCCTTTTTGCGATACGTAGGGTAAATGTAGCAGGGCCTGTTTGTAGTTCTAGTGAGCGGTTTTTGGTATACTGCATTAAAGGTATTTTGGTGAAGCAGTTATCACTCCTTCGGGTAAGAACCCTACTATTTCGGGCTTTGTCCAAGGGTTCCTTTAGAGGTCCAAGTCTGGGGTGATATCTCCCATCGCCCGCCGAGGTTTATGTCCATTGCTGGTGGCCTGCAGCTAGCCTCAACTTGTGCTTCGGTGGGTTTAGGCGTTAACACCATACAAATAAATAAATAAATATATATAAATATAAATATAAATATAAATATAAATATAAATATATATATGTACATATAGGTACATCATAGAACATGTGTATACATAAAAATACATGTGCATGTGCGTGTGTATATATATATATACACACATGTGTTTGTTGTTCATGTCTTTGTTTATACACCTCAGTGTGCTGTAAACCCGAGCCGCAAACCCAAGAACTGACCCCGAAACGGCAGGCTCGACACTGCAAAGCGCAGATCCGCAGCCCTAAACCCGTAAAGCCTGACATTAATCTCTACCTGTAGCCGAAGAGACCTACCTTTTTAAGGAACTATATATAGAAACCATAATAAGGAACCTTAAAACGGTAGGTCTTTTCGGCTACAGGTAAGCCTTAGGCCCCGCACCCCTCAACGGCGATCGTGACGTCTGTAGACTGAGAGAACAAGGCTGCGAACACTCGAGAGAACCGCTTATGTGGACATGTGGACCACGTCATATCCCCATGCCGCCGCCCGACACCTTAACTCTCGGCTCCGGCTGAAGGGAGAGCAGAGTACAGCAGCCAGTCAAGCAGAACGAAGAAAACCGTACTAGGAAAGGGAATGTAGGATTTGGAGTTTCGAAGGGAGTGAGTGCGACTGTCAAGCAGCCAGACCACGGCGAGTACCACTACTTCTACCGGTACCGGCATCGGCAATGACCACAGCACTGGCATCAGCGATAACTGTAAATTCTATCACGGACACTAGGTTCGCACTGACCCTGCCAATGTGGCAGTTATCGAGTAACATTCTCATGTTGACAGACCCAGGCAGGAAATCTGGGTGGGCTGTCACAGAAGGCCTCGTCCCAGTGCTTACCGTACCGGAAAACTCAGATGTTTGGTTAATTCGGTTTCGTAGATTCGCCAGTTTGCCTAGGTTCTTTCCGTAGGCATGTATGGCATAAGGTAGCATCGCACTGTCTCGCTTGAACTGCTTGTGTCCCTGAAGAGGGACCATGCTGTTTGCTTGGAGGGCTGTTTGAAATCCCGATTTTCCAATACTCTCACTTGGGTCCCTATGGTTAGCATTACTCCAAAGCCCTATTCTTCTTCGTAATGCCCCTGTCTTAAGCTCTAAGCTTTGAATCATTGGGTTCTGGACCACCAAACTGTAATCCTTTCTTTGGACCGGTTCCTTAGAGCAACCAGCTTACGCTCGAAACTTACACTTTTTCTCTTTGATTACTTCAAAGCCCAGATCAGGTCATGGGTTGAGGCGACGAATGCCCTCGAGACGATCGGCTGGCTGCTGAATCGCACGGTTCCGTCTGGGGTTTACGCCTTCAATGATGGTTTGCGCCACGTTGCCTATTCTTAAGTCTTAAAAGGCCCAAAGACCGCCAAAGACCGCCAAAGCCTAAACCCTGAAATCCTAAATACGAAAACAAGGCAGACAGCTGTATACTATGCCGGAAGTTCGAGATTTGGATACAACAATCTTCCGTGCTGCGTTGTGTATATTTTGGGGTTGACGGCATTAGGGGTTTTGAAGTGTCGATTCCGATTGCGCAAACGGACCATACCCATTAGGCAACCTTGCAGATAGTACAGGGGTCCAGTAGTTAGTAAAAATCTACCCTCACAGTCCCCCACAAAACAAGAGTGTAACATACTCTAATTGCACAAAGGCCCACATTACCCGAGAGATGCACATCATGTACCGCGAACCCTCGATGTTTGATCACCCTCTCCTCGGAAGAGGTCTGTTCGGGGGCAGGTCGACTCAGGATCAGTGAGCGTTCACTCCTAGAAGCTTCGACGTGTTGCTACTTGAGGTTGAACGTCGGGGAAGGTCAGACCACTGATTACCGTGGAACAAACAGTGTCGGACTGCAGCCTCCAAACAACATGCATCGGCTCTGCGTTCCGGGGTGAGGAGTTAGGGTTTATGAGTTTATGCTTTAGACACCACCTGACTTTGATCGTTTTTGCATCAGCAACTTAGTTCTTGGGTTTGCGACCTGCATTGTTTTAGAACGTGCTTGCCTTATATCTCTCGGCTTCAACCGCAGGCTGCGTGGTACATGGGCAAGATTTTGCTTTCGGCATTGAAAATAGACGAGATGGTAGTAGAAGTAGGCCCTTGCCACCCTCAGTACCAGCGGATTCTCACTATTTCAGAATCAGACATAGCCGAGGCATGCTGATATCAGCCCAAAGAGTGCAGACCAATGCATGCAGAGTTCCTTAAAGTGCAACGCTGCGTGTTGCCATGCGGACCCCGCTGGCTCAGGACTTGGGTTTACGTGTTCACGTGCTACGTGGCTTTCTGCCTTTTTGCCGTCTTGAATGTGATGACAGGCACCATACGGTCACGACTTGAAGATTGAAACTGCATGTCTCAAAGAAAAGTGTTTCGGGGATTGTACAAGTTACATGCATGCAGTTTCCTTTGAGTTTGATATTTTCCCCGACCCTCACAACATGAACTGCGAGGTAGTCTCCTTCCTCGTGTTGCTACCCAGCGAACCCTTGTGTGTGCACGCGATCGTCTGTGCATATTATGCTGGCTCGATTGAATTTCCCGGTGCCCGGAACCCTGAGCCCGTTTTTCCATGGCCCCCATTCTCGCGGTCGTGATGCATCTTCAACGTTCCTTCTTAATGTTGCTTCGCCTTGATGTGGGCACAAGGTACGGTAGGGAAGGTCTGGTAAGGTTCAGATGTATCTACCCTAGAGCCTAGAACGTGAGAATCTCATTGGTTCAAGGTTTGAGATTAGACGTGCCTCAGCCTCGTCAGATTGGTCGCCCCTGTGCAGCTTCAGGGGAGCCTGTGCACTAAGCATCTAAGCTAGGTAGGCCTTTGGGTTCTTTTCTATTTTCCCTTTTGGGCTTAGCTGGACTCTATTTACGAATGTTTTCAGAGGCTTTAAAGGGCCAACCTAGTAAGATTTAGAGTAAGATTTAGGATTCAGCTGAAGGACTAGAACGAAGAAATACCGAAAAGTGATTAAAGCAGCACACACCTGGTGCACTGTTATGACAGTTTGCAATAGTGCGCTCGTATGTATGGATGTATGGATGTGTGCATGCATTGCATATACATGAACTTAGTTGCATGTGCAGATATGCTTTTATGTACATTATAGTATATAACTAGTACATACAGGCATAATCACATACATACATACATGCATACATGCATGAATGCAATGATAAATACATACACAGGCATGCTGCATACATGCATGCGTACATATATACCTGCATACATACATGCATACATATACCTACAACATGCATGTACATATCTATGTGTATATATGTACATATGTACGTATGTCGTTGTCCTCTTGCAGAGGCGTCTTCTGCAACTCCGCCATCAAAGGCGCGGAGAAGGACCAGGAGATGGCGACGCAGGCACGACAAGTTGTTTCAAATTTATCAATACGTAATCATAGCAGGGATAATAATGATAATGGAGGAGTAATAATAATAACCATATGAAGAATATCAACAAGAATACTACGAATATTGAAAATGAGAATAATAGGAACAAGAACAAGATATTACAACAATACTTTCAATAACAATAGCAGTAAAAGCAATTATACTAAAACTGCAGCGACTGACAAAGCATAGTAATACTAATAATGAATAGTAACAATACTCGCAACAGCAGCAATAATAGTCACAATACTAACAATATATGACATAATACCAACATCAACTTTCAGCAAAGGAATGTGGTTTAGGGTTTCAGGGTTTTGGGGCAGCAGCAATATCCGTGCCCAAACACTCACTGAACAGCGACCAATGCAAATAACAACGGTAGCTCCTACTCGTACGGACTGAACAGTAATAGTATTGCTCGTTGGAGGGTTACTTAATGTTGTATTGTGGGATTTCGAAGAGGAGTCGATATTCAGCACTTGTAATAGGATTCCGATATATTTGCGACATAGCTATACTACAATGCACCCCAGAACCCTTGCTTAAGTCGTCCGTCATGCAGAAGCACATGACTAGACGTCTTGAAGCCTGGTGGATTTCGGGTGGATTTGGGGGGCAGGAGGTGAAGCCGGCAAGTCTGAGGCTTAGAGTTTGGGGTATAAGCGTCTGGACAGTTATTAAACCCTAAACCCAAAACTCTATACTCTAAACCCTAAACCCAAAACTCTATACTCTAAACCCTAAACCCTAAACTCTATACTCTAAACCCTAAACCCTAAACTCTATACTCTAAACCCTAAACCCTAAACTCTATACTCTAAACCCTAAACCCTAAACTAAACTTTGGGGCTCCATCTGAGCCCAGAGCTGAATTAAAGGCGCTGATGGTGGACAAGCATCACCTGAAGGCAGGCTTGACGAAGCGCTTCGGCACAGGATTATGGCTTGTCTGGGGGTGTACGGTTTAGGGTTAGGCTAGTGGTCCGGGAGGTGAGAGGTTTGAGGCATTTACAATTCAAAGAGGAGGTTCTAAATCCTAACCTCCAAGCCACTTCCAAAATCACACTCTCAGGAGCCCAGGTTACCGTTCGAGTTCCCATAAAGCCTGCTCTCGTCGGCTTGCTGTCTCTGTGATGACGCATAAGGCTTGAACAATCGGACATCCGCTTCTGCAATGCAGAAATAACTATCGTTAAGTATAGAGCCCCGACTTTGAATATTTTTGGGGAGTGTTGAATCCCACACTCGTTTCTGGTCTAGTTACTTGGTTAACTAGTGTAAGATTATATATATATATATATATGTGTATGTGTGTATACACAGAACGGAAAACCAACAAGATCATCGAACTCATCCGTAGAAACAAAAAACCTATCAAGCATTACGAAACAGCAAGCAAAAACCTAAAGCAACAACATCAAAACACAAAAATGCATTCAACAAATTTCAAGCCCCAAAGGAGCCTACAAGGTCTAAAGAACCTAGCAAAACTAAACACTTAAAGAACCGTAAGAATCCCAACAACCTAAAACGCCTAAAGAACCTAAAAAACCTTTGAAGCACCTAAGAACCGAAAAACATGCAGAACCTTCAAACTTCAAAAAGAAACCTTACACAACGCATCTTCTCCGGAAGTCTCTGCATGGGCTGCCAATTCTACAGGAGTCCCTGAGAATAGGTGTGTTAGGTTCTTTGGGTTTTTTTTGGGTGATTTAGTTGTTTTAGGTTCTTTCAGCGACCCGGTCGCTCTCTCTCTCTCTCTCTCTCTCTCTCTCTCTCTCTCTCTCTCTCTCTATATATATATATATCTCTCTCTCTCTATATATATACACATGTATATGTATATATATATATATATATACCAATAGTAAATTACATTCGTCCTCAGAAGGTCCCCCAATGTCTACTACTCGTCTTGGTCCTCTGCGTGGCACGATGCCGTCATGACATGACAGTTCTAATTCAAACGAAAGTAATGTAAGGTCGCCAGCGCGCAGTTGCTTCAGAGGTTCGAACCTCAAGAGATGTAGGACATGGCCTCAGGGGATTGCTAACCGTCATTTCACATGTGCGCGGCTACTTGAAGCAGTTCCAGGCCCAGCCTCAAGCATATCTGCTGATTCGAATCTTCCTTCTGAAAGCATCGATGCCCCTTAAAGCCTTAGTCAAGAGCCTTAAACCGTCTTAATTAACCCTAAGCAGGTGGGGCTTCAGTCTAAAGGCGAATTTTCATCCCAAGCAATAGCCCCCTCTGATTCCTTAATACATATAGAGGCCTTAATGATTACGCATATTATGGTTAGGGTTCCTTGATATAATTCTAGCATAATGGGCCCCAAAACCCTATTCTAGTTATGAAGGCCCCTATATTACCCTTAACCCATCCGAGGCTCTTTGCTGAGATGGATCGGAACTGCGATGGCACGGTGAGCTACAAAGAGTTCAAGCACTGCCTTGAGGACTAAAGCCATGAACCAAAGATCCTCAGTCCTTATGGGAGTTTCCGAAAATTAGGGGTACCTTTAAAGGGATCCTTGATAGGGTTCCTGAAAGGGATCCTATAAGGGTTCTATAAAGGGTTTAGGGTTTAGGAGTTTCCGCAAAATTGGGGGGTACCTTATTTTGGGGTCCCTATAGTAAGGATCCTAGTGCTTAGGGTGCTATACTAGGGTCCCCTATGTTCGGAAACCCCGTCACCTGTAGTCTCGATTGTATTTTGAGCCTCCCGGATCCCTTTGTCTATAGTTTTCTAATTCAGTATTTTTGTAGTTTTGTTCATACAAAACCCAACGGAAGATCAACACGACTTTTGTGTTACGGCTCTCAGGAGGGTGTAGTTATGGGTCCAGGGTTGAGGGGAACCTTAAACTGCTAAACCCTAATCGCTCAGCTTCTAATCATATAGTATCATAGACCCCTGAACCCTAATACCAGCGCTGATCCTTAAAACCTGACCAGTCCGACATCAGCGAAACTCTTCAGTTAATGTTGGAGTAATTGCCTACCGTATCCCCTTAATCAGTGATACCCTAAAGCCCCATTCTAGTGAATTGCGTGCTTTTCCCTCGACTAACCACTCAAGCCTAAGGTATCAACTACTAGTAGATTCGGACCGTATCAGAGACAAGCGACTGTCGAAAGCAAACATGTTTTCATTCAGCACTAAACCCTGAACCCTAACCAAAAACCCCTAAACCCTAAACCCCTAAACCCTAAACCTCCCTAAACCCCTGAATGCAAAGCCCCAAACTCCCAATCAGGTCCAGTAACACCTGGACTTGAGCCCGACGCCCTAAACCCCTGAACCCTAAACCCAAACACCTACAATCTGCCAGTCCTCTTAAGTGAAACGAAGGCAAAGAAACCTTATAAACCGCGTAGGACCCTATACCCTAATGATTAGACTACGGTTTTGGAGTATATTCTATTATAATTACAATATGGAACCCCCCCCAAAGTATAGGTAATTATTTGGGCCCCTATATTACATGTCAGGACGAGCGTGTGAAGACCCTCTTTGAAGCGCTTGAGCTCGGTGCGGGGGATGCGCTTCTTTGCCTGTCATGGCTTCTGCTGTGAGGGTATCCAAATAGTCGGGTTTAGGGCCTAGGGCCCAAATGGTAGGAGGGTTTTGGGCTTAGGGCTTAGGGCCGAAATAGTAGGGCTTCAGCTACCGCAAAACTATTTAGAGTCTAGCCTTTGGGACCCAAAACCTGCTAGTTGGGTGCTTGGATAGTGCTAGGGTTCAGGGGGTTAGGGTGCCGGGTGAGTTTGCGCAGAGTCTGGAATAGGTCAAACGGTTAAATAATGTTATATACTAGGGATCTTCTGCAGCCCTTGCTGGGTGTTTAGTTTTGAGGAGCCAAGTCCTAAACCCTAAGCTTGGCCCTAATCCCTAAACAAGTGAGTCTCCTGGCCCATGTGGCCTTGTCCTAGTAGACGGGATCTGCGAGGGTAAAAAGGAGTAAAAAAAACAAGTGAGTTTGCTCCTGGGGGCGGGAAGGAGAGTTCTGGGTTGTCACGCTTCTCGGTCAAGCGTTGCGAGCCCCGCGGCCTTGACCTGTGCACCACCGGTTCTCCACGTGCTTTGGGGACACGGTTTTCCCACTCAGGCTCGTGATACTGTAGTACATAGACTGACACGCACAGACGTAGCAGGGGGGGGCACCGGTGAAAAAGTTACGGTGCGATCATCTTGTTTTCCTTAGGTACTGCCCTATAACCTCCAAATGAAGAAGATGCCTTCACTCACAAAAAGAGGTCCTCTGTAGTTCCGGGGTACACTCCTCACTGACCGGGTATAGAGCTCTGAGTAGTGATAGATAGAACCAGAATTCCTCTACATGGGGATCCGGCACCCCACTGAGGAAGCAGCTGTTCAAGATCTTGGATGTCAACAAGGATCATCGGCTTCGTTTCGTGTATAGTAGCAAGTGGATCCCAAGGTTTAGGTGGCTTAGATTAGGCTTAGGGGTTAGCGCACGCTTAGGGTGCAGGTCGTCTAAATATGAACCATCGACAGGTCAAAAGCGGACTTTAAGATTTTGGGCTTATGCGCTTGTGAAGTGGGTGTATGGCATGTAGGTTGTTGTACAAGTACAGGTAGCGGCCCTGCATCCAAGGTAGAGGCCAAGTCCATGCAGCAGCTCATTTGGCACGGCGTAAACCCTAAACCCTATACTCATAGCTCCACAGGATTAAACGCGATACGCTCTCAATTTCTCAACCCCCCAAGCGTCCACACCTTCGGCTCCAGTGTCCGAAACTATACACCTTTAGATCTCCAAATATGTGCCGTTTTTGGTGGTTATTGGTAGTTTTGGTGTAGTAGTATTCATTATGTCTGGACTATCTTTCAAAAAAAACACACGCAAGCCTCGAGGCTCACAATGCAAAACCTCACAATCCTAAACCTCCCTAAAGCTTGCACCTCAAATCACTCGAGGATGATTCTGTCGGGATTGATGAGTTCCTAGAAGGCTGCACGTGGCTTGGCACCAACAATGCAGCAGGCGTGATAGCGCGCCTGTTTAACTGTTTAACCACTGAGTTCGGCCTCAAACCATGTCGCCAAGATTTCGAGTTTGGGGCGACCATTATTTGCTTCGGATTTGTTCTTCGGTCGGGCTTGCAAAAACGTGTATGTGTACATAAACGCACATGTATAGCTTCCCGTCATGCAAACAGGGAGGTCACAGCTGCTTTCTTTGTTCGGCTTTCGTGTTCGGCTTCTCCGGCACATGGTGGGCAGTTCTAAATCGCAGATCCTTTTCTCGCTTCGGCATCCTAAATCCTAAGGTAGCTGGGGTAATTCAAATCCGAACGGTTGCACAAGGTGTTGGAACATTCGAAGCCTGAAATTTCGATCAGCCGCCGCACAGTCACCAGAGACTATATACTGTTCGAAGGGTTCCTCACTATAACTATAGTATCATGGGCCCCAGAACCCTAGTCTAATTGTTAAGGCCCCTATCTTATTGAACCCTTCATCATACGCCGCTTGAACAGGAACCCTAGGCAATCCCTCTAAAGGAACTCTATCCCGATTGTTAAGGCCCCTATAATTGCACAATCCCTCCGTCCCGTCCCTATCGTAAGTACTCTTATAGATCCCTTCTAGTAACCCTTACAGACTTGTTTAAAGGAACCCTATTCTAATTATGAAGGGCGCGATAATAGCACAATCCCGCGGCCATTTCCGGAGGCAAGTTCGGGGAAACGCCCGAGCCATCGACCTCTTCACACTGAGTGACTTCGGCTGTGGATATGGGCACCTTTAAAGGAATCTTTTAAGGGATCCTTAATGGGGTCTATAAGGGTTCTAGAAACGGTTTAGGGCTTAGGGTCTGGAGTTTCCGAAAATTAGGGCTACCTTATTATTTTGGGGTGCTTATTCGTCCCCCATTTTTGGAAAGTCCCATATCTGTTTGCACATGTAACTATGAAGGTGTGCGCATGTATGTGAGTGTGTATGGTTGTAGGAAGGGAGGAAGGTGGGTATGCATGCATGCATGCATGTGTGTATTCATCAGTCCAACTAACGAAACCTACAGTATCCAGAGAATCTACCTCAGCATTTACTTGTCGGCTAGTTTTTGCCGCGACATTATCATTCTGTAACATGTGTTGGTTGATGTTGGTTAGTGCATAAGCGGCACCAAGCCGACGTTTAGACGCTGCATTTGCACAGCATGCGGATAAGTTCAGATGTAAGCACACTTCTGTGAGTTTTCATGTATACTCAATAGGTGTTCGAGATTTGTGTATGTGTATGTATGTGTATATATATATATATGCGAACAAGTTCAACACCTGTTCAGTGGTTAACCAGGCATTGTTCAGGTAGCAACTAACTGTTCCTTGCACGCTCTTTCCCTTCGCTTCTTCAGCACGTTCTTACATGAAGCATGTTGGTGAGTAGTGTTTTTTGATCATGGCAGCAGCACGAACAAGATAGATAGTCATCCCGGGTGTACTTGTAAATACCGCAAGAAACATCAACACGCGGGCAACGTTTTCACCACAGACGAAATCCTAATATCTGGCTCGAAGCCTCAGGAATATGCTTCTGAATTGTGCTGTAATGTAGGTGAACCGTTCGCAGTTAGTTTGAAGATGAACTTGACATGGGGTTGAACATCTTGCAAAGACTACTTATTAGCTGGCTTATTTCTCGCTTGTGCTTGAATAAATGTTTCTGCGCAGTATGTCAGTATAAACTTTCTGCATATGTGACGATGAAACATCTGACATTTTTCTCAACGTGCTAGTTCGGAAATGTTGACTGTTGCGTGAATGAAAGTTCGACATAGTTTTACCTGTATAACCCTATACGATGCCTCTTGAGGTCTCAGCCAATTGTTTGAACAAGTCCGACGTACGAATTACACCAAAACCCATCTTACTGAAACATCGCCCGCATACTGAGTAGTATTGAAAGCTAAGCAATATTACTTCAGTATTTGGCTCCCAGTTAGCTAAGTATTCTTTCACTTGATACCACATCTCCTGCAGTCGTAAGGGCAGATTTAATCAAAAGTGGACATAGGCTTAGCACATCATGCGTAAGTCTATATAGCATGCAGATCAAAATGGTGAAGGACACATTCAGTGGTTTATGTACGGTTGTTCCTGCTCCTGTTGCGTACCAGACATGCAAGCTCCTTGGACGGTTCTGGCAGGAGAACCCTGGCGAGGATGGTTTAAGTGATGACTGCCTGAATGCCGAGCTAAAGAAGACAATGCAGACTGTGACGACTGTTCTGATGAGTTGACTGTATACTGTATATTCCTGCTTTGATGTACATCTCGGTAGGAGGGTTGCATACATCCCTATCTTCCAATCTCAGGCACCCAGACAAACAAGCTCAGAAAGCAGATGGGTGAGATATGCACGCTGCAGAGGTCGGGGGCGTTTCTGCGTCCTGAAATCAGGTTCTGTATCAGAAGTTGAGGTCTTTAGTAAATTTCAAAGTATGAAATGGCAGCATACATGCCGCACTGTGTTTGCATGAAGACAGTGTGCTGGCACGCAAGCGTTCACTGCACGACAGCACATAACCCCAAGTTCGAACGACGTGCTGTTCCAAGCACGTTCGAACGAAGGACCAATACGATTCAATACGAACTCGTAAACAGCACCCTAAACCCTTAAACCCGTAAACCTCTAAACCCTTGAACCCCTAAACCTCTAAAAACCCTTAAACTCCTAAACCCCTAAACCCCTAAAACCCCTAAAACCCCTAAACCCTTAAACCCCTAAACCCCTAAACCTCTAAACCCTGAAACGACCAGCCTTCTCTTGAAGGGCTTCGGGCCCGGAGGGCAGGTTTCGGGACTTGTCTTACATGGCGCCTACACCGGGACTGTTGGTAGTGGGGTTTAGGGTTTAGGGTTTGCGGCTCGGTTTCTGGTGTTCTTAGTGTTACGCTGCTGCCGCTGCAGTATGCTGTGCCCTTACATTGCTATTTCTGCTAGTGTTTATCTTGATATCACTGTTGTTGTGGTTTCTGTCGCTGCTGCTGCACTGTTTCTGGTCGCTGTCTGTGCCGTCGATGCTGGTGCTGTTGATGATGCTGTTCGTTGGAATATGAAGGTAGTTCTGGGGTGTTGGTGGTACGTTGTTGTGTTGATGATGTTGTTTTTGCCTCTGCCACTGCTGTTGTCCTCGTTGTTGCTTTTGCTGTTGTTGGCTAACTACCTGCTGTAATTGTGCGTGTGACCGCTACTGGTGCTGTGCACACTCCACTTTGCTTTTCTTACTGTTTCCGACAGCTGCAGGACAAAAACTAATGCAGGTGCGAACATTGGCATTATTGCTGCTGTTGGCATCATGCAGGATCTTCTCCATTGCTGCCTTTCTCGCTTCTAAACCAGCTTACGATGCTGTTTTCTTTCCTGTTTCGGCCAGTATGGTTCTTGGCAGTTGGGTATGACCAATGCGAGAGTCAGCAGTACTGCTCTCATTGTAATTTGCTTGCGGTCACTGCTGGTGAACCAGTAAGAACGCTGTTTCGTTTCCTCCCATTTAGAGTGCCACTGCTATGCCTTTCCCTACCACTATGAATCGCCCAAACCCTAAGCCCTTTACCGTGGAATGTGCAAGTCTTAAAGAAATCGCGGGAAAGCAGCTTCGATGAAGCCCTGGAGTTTGAGATTCAAGCCCATTTGTCCAGGGGTCGGGACGATTTAGCCCAAAGGGTCCAAAGTACCGATACAGTAGAATGTAGGGTTTCTATATTAGGAATTACTATTATGATTTGCGGAAGTATCCCCCATAACAGTACCTAGGACCCTTTGGGTAGGCGTTGGGATCTTCGGATTTTCGGGCTTAGGTTTTAGGGATTTCGGTTCTGGGGCTTAAGACCCCGCCATGAGAAGCTTAGCTCCTATACTAGATCCTTATAATAGCACTTGTAGTAGCCCTTATAGACCGCTTTCAAGGAACCCTAAACCCTTATAGAACCCTTTAAAGGAACCCTATTCTATGCATGAATGTTTCAGTGTCTCTGCACTGAGGAGTTGAAGGACGGCTAAACCCGAAACCCTAAGTTTCTTGAGCAAAGGCAGAGCCTTCTTTGTGCCCTCAGCGCTCTCTCGTTTTGCAGGCACTTGATGGTGAAGATGGAGCAAATTTCGATGAAGATTTGGAGTCGATCTTTCAGTCAGTAAGTAGGTCGATGTCCACTTTTGCATTGCATGCAGAGCTTTTGCCACGCGGCCAGGTATGTTGCTGCTCAGAATTCGTGTGTGAATTGTCCCGGCGCTGTATTCCCGAATAAGTTGGGCTCGGATCTCTGCCTGTACTCTAAACCTTAGGCCAGTGCGTGGTAGAAGCCAAACTCGTTCCGAACGGCACCAGTCCGTCTATCATGGCAGAGATATGTGCGTTCAAGAGCCGATTTTCCGATTGGTTCTAAGACTATTGCATGCCCATAGCAAACGGATCCCGACAACTGTTCTGTCTGAACCGCGTAAGTACAAACCACGCCAACTAAATCCCTCCTTAAACCCTAAACCCGAAAACCCCAGCTTTCAGGAGTTTGTGTATGTTTCCAGGGGCTCGCACGAAGCCTGGAATTTTGAACAAGGCCCACGAGCTGGCACCTGAAGAAGGCAAAAGCCAGTTCACCTCCTTATTGTTGCTGACTCTCTCGGGAAGAACCTCAGTACTTAAGCACGACCACAAACCACAGCTCCATTAGCAAAACCTGAAAGCCCTAAACCCCAAATCTTCTAAACTCCTAAACTCCCCAAACCTGTAAGCCAGCCAACTCTGTGAGGTTGGGCGACAGTTGCAAGCTGTGGCTGAGCCCAGCTTGTGCCTAATCATATTTTTATCATGTCTCGCTGGCTACGATTTTGAAGCGCATCTTCGAGCCACGGTTTGGGGTTTAGGGTTTAGGGTTACGCAAGCTCTTGTGTCGCAGGTACTCGGGCAACATTGGCAACAACCTTAGGTTCCACACCGAGTCGTGGGAGATTATGGTGTTGGCTGTGAAAGATAGCAGGAATGTTGGCCCTCCAGATGTTCTTCGTCACACCATCCAGTCGCACCCTGCATCCGTCAACCAACGCTAGATACCTTGCTCCATTCATCACGGTAATCCATCTAGTAACGCTAACAGCCATCTTATTATTGGAAACTTAGAATATCCTCTTATATGTTAGTATCTCTCCCTTACTCTTACACTTGCTTCGAACCCCTCTTTGTCAGGGATCATGGCTGGGTTGCGTGGCAGTTAATGATAAATTTCAGCATGTGATTGTAGACCGTTGATATCCATCCGAGCTCCCGGTTTCGGGTTTAGCGTTTAGGGTCCGTGCTGTACGGAGTTCTTGCGGCTGACCTTGAGCATGCAGCTGCATGCAATTCATGACGTTGAGCTGGCAACGGCCAAGCTTTTTTTTCGTAGCTGATCTAAGATATCTTAAAATTCCACGGACACCTCACAGATTTACCCTTTCGGTTTTCTCGTTGCATGTTATCGACAAGCAGTCAGAACCTGCACCGACCCTAAATCCTCAGTCGAGACCACAAAGGGACGATTACGTACCCTGAGCCTAGTTCTAGCATGGAAGAACCCTCAGCAGATGGATTTTCTTAATTGCAGACCCAGAGAGATTCAGAGTTTCGGGAACACAGCTTAGGGGTTTAGCGTCAGAGATTTCCCTAGACTAAAGCCTAGACTGTAGGTTTTTCCGCGGATCCAGGGTTTAGGGGGGGCGAAAGCAATCGCATCAATAATGACAGGAAGAGGCAGACTAGCAACCATGGTCCTACCTTGAAACATCACGACGTTCATAGGTTTAGACGACTTCGTGCGTTTCCTACGATGCATCATTAGTCTGGAACATGCAGCATACACAATGCCTAGAAGCCTAGCAGTCATATACTTAACTAATACCGGCACAGACATAATATATATATATATATATATATAT